AAAAAACAAAAAAAAAAAAAAAAAAAATTTCCGGGTTCCCTATACATCTGGCGCTGTAGTCGCTGTAGTCGCTATCGTCGCTGTAGTTCAGGCCTTGTCACTCTGAATCTGAACCGGTCTGGTTTTTCCTGGAGAGCTCTGCCAAGACGGAGGCTGGGATCCGACAAGCTTGCGCGCACTGTGGGATTCCCGCCTTGTCGTCCCCGCACATGGCCTATCCCTGGACAGTGTCTGTACAGTATACACCCAGTACAGAGGTCACAGCACAGCCACGCCGTCCGTAACGCTGTGCCAATAGGAGCCAATCATCGGGAGACTATCATGAGTCGCAACGGCCTCCAACTACTACCAGACCACGCAGTATTACGAATACAACGAGACACGAGGCATGGAGGATGCCCGGTAATCTGTAATCTGCAATCTGCAATACAAATGCTATCACCGAGTAGTAGGGAATGAATACCACTAACACGTAATGCAGGTATGGAGTTGATGCTAGGAATAATGCCATCATGCATGAGTACTGTGTAATGCTGTAACCGATCCTGCTACGGAGTAGTCCTCTCTCTACAGAGTACTATTCTATTACCTGTAACCTGTAGTCGAGATGGATTCCTCTCACTCTAGTCCTCGGCTCCGGCACGGCAGGACTGCTGTCCGTCCCGAGTCAGGCTTCGATCCCTGCCTCGAGCTTGCCGTCCAACACCAACCTCCCCTCCCTCTTCCTCTGGGCCTTGCGTTGGAGAAAGAGGGCCCCGTGTGAGACGAGGCTTCATTTTAGTGGTGGCACCCACCCACCCACGCAGCAACGGATCAGACGGCACGCTCTCTTCTTTTTCTCCTTCTTTTTTTTTTTGTTTTGTTTTCGTTTCTCAACAATACATGCAGAGATACCTCTGATACCTCCACCGAGTGCATATAATACTCCGTACCCGTGCAGAGCATTACGACTGCGTTGCGGAGTGCCTGGGTGTACGGAGTATTATTACTCGTACTCGTAGAGGACTCGAGTTAGTCGCCCCCAGTCTCCAACGAGTCTCCAACTTCCTACGGCGCCCCTCCCGCTTCTCACCCTCCTCACCCTCCCGTCCCCCATCTTTCTCGTCTTCTCCGCCATCTTCTTCCCCCTCACCCAGAGGAGAGGACAGTGCTGCGATGAGCGTCGGGTAAAACGTATGGAGTATATTACGCGTAGTACGGATTGCAGTAATACATACCTCCGACTTCTGCACCCTGATACTCCTTCTGTTGACCGACGGGGGACGGGGTCTGGTTTCGTTCCATGTCCGAGTGATACCGGACGGCAAGTGATGGGTTGAGCGCTACGGTTATTCGTAATCGATCATATCTAATAATGATATTGCAATGCACACGTGTGCCCCGTCACGGCTTCAACTCGCGTTGCACGGAAATACGGCACACCAGGCTGGACCCTGGTCTGGCCCTTTCTGTCGTCCCTCCACGAACCCTGGCCCCGACGCCGCCAGAGACGCCGCTCGGCTTGCCGGGAGCCGTGTGTGGTGGTGCTGACTGGTGCGGCGGTGCTGACTGGTGCGGCATGCTGCTACCGACCTCTGCGAGGTGCTGCTATTCACGACCTTGGAAAGTTCTTTTTCCCCCGACTTCCTGATTTCACGTCCTGATGGTGTATTGATACTCCGTACGGTCCCGTCGGTACCCAAGCTGATGCAGATTACACATGTACGATTGCTCAGCTTACATAATGCCGTAGTACGAGTAGGTGGAAACTCCCACCGTGGATGCCAACCTCGCTGAATATGACTTCATCACAGATACACGCAAAACATACCCGTACAGCAGAGAGGTTACGGGCAACGTTCGTGAAACACGTCCCTCTGAATGCAATGTCCGATATCAAAACGTCCCATCATTGGTCCGAATCCGCCTGTGCTGACCCTGTTCGGATGCTGCTGGCCCTTCTCCCCAGCTGCTCGGGTTCAATGTTTCTCACGTCTTCCGCCCGACAATTCGATGCCATCGTCATCATGACCGTCCGTGTACGCTCCTGCTCTACAGTATCCCACCGTGTCCGTGCTCCGGAGTGCGACAAAACACACACCCTCTCCCCTTTCTCCTCCATTCGTGGCTCTGCAGCTGGGCCTATTCGGCGCAACCTCAGATGCACGGGTGACATGCAAGGGCTGCAGCATCCATTATCCGGGCCAAGGGTGCCGTCGAGATAAAGCCGAGCCCCATTATATAACACGGTGTGTCATGTGTCGCTTGACCGCACCCAGCACGTAACTCGTACGGCACGTACTCGTCGTATGCGCAGAGCACTCGTAATGCTTTGCTCTTCTTCGCACGAGATCGGTCATCTGCAGTTGTCCGTACAATCGATAGGCTTCATACCGGACTAGTCCTGAGGAGATCAGTTCCCACATGTAACCTGTACGAAGATACTTACCCGCAACATGCTAGTCTTCATCCATTCTCGTCAGATGTTACTATTTATTACCTGCTGCTAGCTCCGCCAAACATGTCATTCATCCATCATGCGCGTATATTCGGCACCTGCATGCCGTCGGTTCAGACGGCAACCGTAAACAGGAAGAGAGACGGTGTCATGTCCAGCTCCTTTGCCTCCGGTGATCTTCTTCCCCCCCGATCCTCCCTTTCAATTCCTCACCGTCACTAGCCTATTCCATCTCAGCCAACTTGTCTCCTCTCCTCCCATTCAACCGAAAATTAGTGTACGTGTTAATACTCCATACAATTTACTCCGTAATAATCGTACCAATAACTCGAGGACGGACAGACACCATGCCGTCACGGCTAGTCGCTGATCATTTCCGACCCCGACTCCGCACCCGTCGCCATGGGACAGCTCGTGCGTAGCTCGACATCGTACGCTACACCCCTGTCCATCATGATAGTGACGTATATCAGAAGATGAGGAGACCGCACCATGTCTCATACGGGCAGCACCAGCGTCACCTAGTGCTGGGTAATACAGCTCGTCTGCCTTTGTCGACTTCCCATCGGCGCTGTGGACTGACCGACAGCGGGCCAGGAGAAGGACGCGACAGGGCTGCGTTTGACGTATGAGGATCCTGATCTACCTCTAGAGTGTTACGGGGCAGTATTCCCATCATCATACTCAACCGTCAGAAGGCTCCCGTCTAGTGAGAAGAAAGAAGATGGCCCGGCAAGTTACAAACAGCCTGGATAAGGCAACATAACAAGAGCTCTCGGCGCATTTCCACGCCACCACGAACGCGATCCGGCAGATGGTCGTCGGATGAAAAGTCCTAGGTCGAAGTTTGCTTTGCCCTCTTACAAAAGCACAGCTGCAACCTACACAGATCCAGCTCAAGCTCCTGATCTCTACAGGCTGGTGTACGCCTGGAACTCTCACTTGCGATGACTTGCCTGACCTGAACGGTCGTCTTGTACGACTGATGGGGAAGGGAAGCCCTGTACGGTATGGATCTGGGAGATGCTAGGGCGCTTGTGAGATCCGCAGTTGCAGCTCATGCTATATTGTCTGGAGGACGCTTGAGACTTCTGGAACGAGACTGGCAGCAGGTCGCTACATCACGCATCTTATATAGAAAGAAAGACCTGTCAGGGGGATTGGGGTTCGTTGCCTATGCCTTAGCTGGAGTGACCATCGCCACTATAGTCTTGTACCCTTCTCTATTTCCCCCTGGTCGGCGCACACATTGATATTTGCCTCCTTTTTCTTCTACTTCTCATTTCCTATGAGTCACTCCCTATCATGCAGCGCGCTTTGTTAACATGTTTGACCTCGGAGGCTTTTGTCATACTTTTACCGTGTATGTCTTCCATAGCTTAGGTAAGCGGGACTCGACTATGATAATGTCGGATCCGTCCCTCCTAGCATAAACAAAACAACTACCAAGAACAATACACACACATCACCCCTGGCAGACCACAAGACATACAGAAGAGAGAACACCCCTCTCTTCGCGCGACAGCTTTCAAGATGACGGATAATTTCAAAGGTTTGGGGGATGGTTTGGACAATCTTCTTTGCTTGTAGATGCCATTCGACACCTTCCGGCTCAAAGTACCGCGGGGTTAGGGTATGGGTCCCTTATCAGACCCTGACCAACCCTGACTCGGGTTGGTCATGGGTTTAGGGTTGTAACAGACACGCAAGGGTTTAAACGGCAGCTCCTTATAGGCAGTTTATGAGTGACTGCATGCTGTCAGTTTTCAAGGCGAAACTAGCATTGAATGTGAAAAAGTCAGGACTGGATGGTATCAAGAGTAGAGGGCAGAAACCTGTATACAAAATCGCCACTGGCAACCTGGCAGATGGAAACAGCACAGCTTCCCAAGGCTATATCGATGCGGTCATCCCCCTCTACAAGACTCTATGCTCAACACACCGCGTCCCTTTCAAGCCGGATGTAAGCTCATCTATCACTCCGGGTATGGCACCTGCAAGATACTGGGCAAGACACAAAGGGCTCCGTGGCTGAGGTTCATGCCGCCATGATGAGAAGAGGTTGGACCGGGTGGCGTTTCACCTAAAGGGGTCACCAAGGAGAGGTAGAGGAAATACACGAGCATATAGCAGTCTGTGGTGGAGCGTGTTACTGATCGTGCTCTCCTCAGCCTCGTCCTCCTGGAGCGAGACGGTCGGTGTCCTGGATGCTACGAGGGAGGTAAGAGAAGTAGGGCGAGCATGGACTACGCGCCTCCCGGGAGACTTTAGAAATGACGATCCGCTCTGTATTCTCAGATTTGAGATGCAGCGCTTATAGAAAGCAATGTCTGGCTGTTTCCCAGCTTATAATATGAACATCGTCCTCTCAATCTCACCAATTTACCTCCACGTAACCTCGAAATCATTTTCCCAATTGCCTTCCTCAGTCAAAGCTCCATTATAGCCTCGAAGTCGCTCAAAGATTTCTTCCCTTGGCCTCTGGCTGCGTGGATTCCCCCCCCCCCCCCCCCCCCCCCCCCGCGCGCGCCACCCACAAATTTCGACCCCAATCTAGAACACGCGTCCCTGGTTCCGGTGTTCTTCGCCGAAAGGTGCTCCAGGTGCGTTGTGGTGATGGCGATGCTCATCTCGGGAACTCGAGGTGATGATTAGACTGAATACCCTTCTACGCCAGGATGCAAGATCCCTAATCAGATCCCGCCGCCAGATACGTGCTGCCACGGTACATGCTTTCTTTGTGTTGCTCCAGCTACTAAAGGTCCAGCAGTTTTGTCAACGTGCATATCCGAGAACTTCGCACCAGGCCACGAGCCAGGGCACGAGCTTGTGTGCCGTGGCGCAGAAGAGCATTGTCCAGGATCGTTTCATCGACAGACAGGTCCTTCCCATAATAGGGACCCCCACACTTCCGTACCTTACCTCGCTACTATACAGTTGATAGCCCTGAGCTCGAGGTGGAACAGGCGTGAGATCCGGCCCAAGAAGCACGCTCTACCGTTGACTTTTACGGCGGCATCCACGGAGGAGGATATGGACTTCGGTTCCAGGCTCGACTGTCGTGACAATGTATCTTCCAGTTGCCAAAGCTACCTGGAAGTGGGAAAAGGCAGAGGCTCAAGCCTTTGAGACCTCGTAGAAAAAGGCAGCTGAGGCCGTATATCTACATGGACCATCGATGGATCAGCCTGTAGAGTTGTGATCAGGGGTAAGTTTCTTCATTGGAGGGTGCGCCGCCATTCAAGTCAGAAAAGGAGTGCCTTAGCCTGCAATGTGTTCTCTACTATTCATTCCTCCTCACAAAACAGCAAGACACGAGGAGATTATTGGACTAGCAAAGGCGAGCTGTGCGCTGTTGCAGAATTCTAGGGGACATACGTCGGTCAGATGGGTCGTAGAGCTTCGCATTCTCAACGCTAGATCCGTTCCACGAAACCTCCCACAGCTCCTAGTCGGTCCAGCTCCGGTTGATTCACACAGTCATCGGATTTGAACGTGGTCTTGGAAGACCATCAGCTACGCCGTTCTGAGCCTCTCAACGTAATGAATCTCAACGTCGGGATCACCTATTGCCCAGGCTGTGGTGGTCCTATCTCAGGTTCCCCATCTCAGGCTCAGCTTCCGAAAGGTTAAGCTCAGGTGTTGGGGTACTAGTCTGTCCCTGTCGACTAGACAGGATAGTGGTCATTCTTGTGTCTATTGCCAAAAGAATGTTGAGAGAGAAAGACCGCACAAGGAAACTTCAAAAGAACACACGAGTGACGATGAAAACATATGGATCTCTCCACCTGCCAGCCCGTATGACCTCTCTCTTTGTAAACCCCTCTTTTTCATGAGGTGATGCCTCCGTCATAGAAAATGGCAACACACATCAAGAATCCGAAATAACGCTATTTTATGCACTTTCGTACCTTCTTATAGCGATCAGCTACTTGGGTCATTCCTAGATGAAATCACAATTTCAGACTGCCCGGATAACCGACGTTATCCCACCCTGCAAAGTCCGACATGATCCTGGGGTCATGCGTCATGAGAACCCATCATATGTCGGAACAGAGAGCTACTACATAAGCTATCGGAATAAGTTATTCCGAGCCGATTATAGATGTCCGTAGTAAACAAGACACCTACATAGTCACTATTTCCTTTATATAGAGAAATACAACAACACATAACCAAGAAGGCAGAAAACATCTTAGTTTGGTCTTCAAACAGCACGGAGTGCCCAGGGTCGAAATCGGATACTGGTCAGGAGGTGGGTTATGGATATAAAGAAAGCACGAGCCATCATCCGTCATTCTCCATGGATATGCACGTTGTTTCTCGGTTATAACTTACGAGTATAGCTCGAGGATTGGGGGTGTGAACGCGGAGAAACATCCGGGGCCCCGATCGGGTATTAATATGTATTACTAACTTGAATATAAGCTTGTTCCTTCGGTGCCTGCGCCGAGGGTGTGGGAAACTGTCGTATGTACCTTTATGCCTCTCTCCTCCCCCCCCTCCCTCCCCTCCCCCCCAAGACGAAGACAAACCACCCGTCCAAACTTGAATTAAACATCGATTCCAATCCTGTGCCTCCCCCATCGCCCGGCTGTCAATACATGTGTTGATACCTGAAGTAAAACGGCTGAGCAAGAACCAGCATGAGGGTATCCAACCCCGCTCGGCCGATTACGCCCGCTGGAACCGCTACGAGCTTCTCGGCTTCGGGATGGTGCGATCGCGAACCTGTATCACTCAATAAGGCAATGATATCTCGCGGCATAATTGCGGCGAAAAGAAGAAGGCGAGATGCAGCCCGCCCCGCCTCGAAAGACCATGGAAACCTGTCAGAAACGGGGGAGACAGCATGATGGATTTAGTCGAAAAGCCGGTGAGTGGGGAGGTATGCGAGTATATGTACTCCATCATATCACGAGATCTGTCGTCATGGCTTGATGGAGAGCCGGGTAATACCTGCAAACTGCAAGCACGGCAACGTCCGCCTCCCATCTTTACGCTTATACTTGCCGTTTGCACACGGGGAACTGCCGAGGGAAATATCCGATGCATTACTAGTAGGCAACCCTGCATATCGTTTGGTCGGCATTGGAACCCCGCGAGTTCGATCTGTCAGCTCTGAACGAGCGCATTGTAAATCCAATGGCTCCCCCATTGCTCGTCGTCTCTTTTTTTCTTTTCTTTTTCCGAGCATAGATCCCTCCGCGAGCACGTCTGTCTTGCGTTCCGGACCGAGGACGAGGCCAATTCGGAATGCGTTCATTTTCCACTGCAACAACATTGGCGTTGGCCGCCCTACCCTTTGCCTCTGGTAGGTCAGCATCTCGTCCTTGCTCCTCCTCGTACTCAACAGTGCTGACCCTGAGTACGCAGCTCAGCTGAGTTGGGAGGAGGCCTATGCCAAAGCTGAGGCTGCCGTCTCCAAGCTATCACTGGCTGACAAGGCCGACATCGTGACGGGCACCGGATGGAAGCAGGGCGTATGCGTGGGCAATACCGTGCCCATCGACTCAATCGGTTACCCGGCTCTGTGCCTGCAAGATGGTCCGCTGGGAATCCGGTACGCAACAAACAGCACGGCCTTTACGCCGGCCATCCAGGCGGCCTCGACATGGGACATTGACCTGATCCGCCAACGGGAGCAGTTCCATGCCGAGGAGGCAAGGGCCCTCGGCATCCACGTCCTCCTAGGTCCTGCATGTGGCACATTGGGTAAGATCCCCGAGGCCGGCCGCGGTTTCGAGGGCTGGGGACCTGACCCGTACCTCGCCGGCATCGGTGCGGGCGCATCGGTTGCCGCCATCCAAGCCGCAGGCGTGCAGGCAACCATCAAACACTTTATTGCGAACGAGCAGGAGACCAGCCGCATGATCATCTCGAGCAACGTTGACGACAAGACGATGCACGAGATATACCTCTGGCCATTTTACGACGCCGTTCACGCCGGAGTCGCCGCAGCCATGTGCAGCTATAATAAGATTGACGGCACGTGGGCCTGCGAGAGCGACATCATGGACAAGTTCCTCAAGAGACAGCTGGGCTTCAAGGGATACATCATGTCCGACTGGACCGCCCAGCACTCGACCGTCAAGTCTGCCCTGGCCGGCCTGGACATGTCTATGCCCGGTAGCGGGTTCGAACAGGACGACGTATACTGGGGACCGCAACTTGAGGCGGCTGTCGATGCCGGAGACATCCCTCAATCTCGCGTCGACGATATGGTTACCCGCATCCTGGCCGGCTGGTACAAGCTGGAGCAGGAGAAAGGGTACCCTTCCACCGACCTCACCCGGGAAGTCGAGGGAAACCACCACACAAATGTCCGGGCATGCGCCAGGGATGGCACGGTTCTTCTGAAGAACGATGACGGTATCCTGCCCCTCTCTGGTCCTGCCAATATCGCCGTCATCGGATCCGATGCCGTCGCGGGAAACCACTCCAGGAACCTGTGTAACTCCCAGGCCTGCAACGACGGTGCCCTCGGCATGGGATGGGGGTCCGGGGCCGCCAACTACACCTACTTCGTGACGCCCATCGACGCTATCAGCAAGATTGACGGCATCAACGTGACGCTCAGCGGTACCGATGACGCCGGGAAGGGTGCGGCCGCGGCCGCCGATGCCGATCTAGCTCTCGTCTTCATCACCTCTGACTCGGGAGAGGGAAACAGGACCGTCGAGGGGTCCGACGGCGATCGTCTCGACCTCACGCCTTGGCATCACGGCAACGAGCTCGTCCGCGCCGTCGCGGAGGCCAACGAGAACGTCATCGTCGTGATACACTCGGTCGGTCCCGTAATCCTGTCCGAGATCCTATCTCTCCCGTCCGTAAAGGCCATCGTATGGGCTGGGCTTCCTTCGTCGGAGAGCGGAAATGCCTTGGTCGATATCGTCTGGGGAGGCACCAGCCCTAGCGGCAAGCTCGTCTACACCATCGCCAAGAAAGCCGGTGACTACAACGCCACCATCATTCAGGGCGACGAGGATAATTTTGAAGAGGGGGTGTACATTGACTACCGTCACTTCGATCACGCTGGGATCGAACCCGAATATGAGTTTGGATTTGGTCTCTGTGAGTCTCTGGAGGTGCCTTCACCGACTACCATGATGCAGTTGCTGATTTGCCTCTTCTCGACAGCGTACACAAACTTCTCATATGCCGATTTGACTGTCAACTCACGTGCGAAGCCCGGGCTGATCGGACAAGATGGCCTGCATGATCTTTTCGAAGACGTGGCGTCCGTCACTGCCACCGTAAAGAATACCGGTGCCGTCGCCGGCTCAGAGGTCGCTCAGCTATACATCTCGTATCCCAAGTCTGCTGCCCAGCCGCCCAAGCAGCTTCGAGGCTTCGATAAGCTTCCCCTGAAGGTGGGTGAGTCGGGTACAGCAATCTTTTCTATTCGCAAGAGAGACCTTGCCGTTTGGGACACGAAGGCGGAGCAGTGGACGATCCCGCGTGGCATCTATAGCATCCTGGTGGGTGCTAGCAGCCGGGACATTCGTCTCGAGGGAAAGATCGAGATCGCGTAGGCCCGCCGGTGCGGTCTCGTTGACATTGCACCGCAACCTATACATGATGTAGACAATACTGTATTCAGTAGACGATGTTGTATTCAGCAGAAGCACATCGACGCTACACGAATGTATGAGAAGTGCGGAGACTTGACCGTCTGCTCTAGTTCAGTTCAACGTGATCCAGGTCCCAAGTCAATTCTGAATGTTCATATTCGCCACTACAGCATCACCGTAGTGAGCCCTACGAAGAGGCCATTGGCCTCCGAGCCTCGCCCTGGTCAAATGACAATGCACCTACTCACTGGAAGAACTGCGATGCACTGTCGTCGGGAGTTTAGTATCTACGCTGTCAGAATCCTCTTGGTTGCAGGCTTGTGCATGTGCTATCGTGGACAGATAGCGATGCAGTCTCCTGGACGGCAAGTGCGTAACAACCTCTCGCTAGATTCGTGGCAGCTTCTCCATCGTCCGGACTGCCAAGGATCAGCGACTAGAAGGGTGTGTTGCCGTCGAGATATGCCTGCTACCCTCTCGTTGATCCTGTTCAAGATTAGTTCTGCACATGTAGCCAATCCGACCATACCCAGTGGCGGCCCGCATAGGAACTCGAGGGCACCCTTCAAGATCATGTACACGAGAGACGCGCGACTTCAGACAACGAGTCTGCTCGGGGTAGGGAATAGTGAGATGGGTGACGAGATCTGCGTAGGGCATAGGAGACCCTGGCATACCAAGGCAAATATATTGTCGAATGCGCCGATGCCATCCGTCACGCCCAGATCACCAAGGTCAACTACAACGTCCTCTGGGCTGACCTCCTCGGCGAGCCTGAACATCCACGAGTGCGTGATAGCCTTGCTATCTGGGTAGTAGACGGCATTGCCATAGCCCTCGGAGCTGTGCAGTGCGGCAAGAAAGGACGTCTTATGACGGTCGGCAGGCTGCGCCAAGATCCAATGTACCCAGGTTGACGATGCTGACACCCCCGGCTCCCCCGGTGGTGGTGACTTGACCTTGGGGACGGGGAGAAGTAGCGTGGCTAGCAGCACGGTCGAGTGGTGGTTGGCCTGCATCATCGTCTCGTCGCCCTCGGGGCTCTCTCATGGAGAGGCCGAATGCCGTGAGGCCGGCGTCGAGAATCGATACCCAGGCAGGATAGCAATCGCGCTCTTGGCAGCGAATATAATGGCATATGCGAGAGGACCTCTCCGTACCCGTCTTCCCATCAGACCGGCGGGATTGTTGCCGTTTAATAGGAAAGGTGGGCGTTACCGCCAATACCACCACTAGAATTATATTCCCACTAGGCCCTTGGGGGGGGGGGGGGGTAAAGGGAAGCTCAGATCAAGCCTCGTCCATGCTTCTTCATCCTTGCAACGTCGGTCTCGATCCTCTGCATCTTTCTCCCTCATGCTGAAGACAGCCGTCGATCGACTCGACTGGCTTTCCCGTTGCCAGAAAACTGTTCCCAAAACAAGCATAGCTGTTCTCTCCGACACAGTAACTAGTTCCCACCACTGCTGTCCACAAGCTCACATCGCTTGCCTTGTATGGGTCGTGGTCTGTCTACCAGAGTCCCCGATATGGTTCACATCATCGAGCCGTACAGGCTGAAGCCCTGTATGGCAGTAGAGGGTCCTGGTCCAACTTTCAGAACCCCCCCATATAAGACAGAAGCGTACGGATGGGTTGGCCTGATGTTCGGTGTACCTGTTTAAAGAGAGGCGGGGAGTTGTATCTTCACGGTTGAGCTGATGATTGTTGAGCGTCAGACGATGGACTCGGGTCCTTCGAGTTCATCTCGTCCGATCCGGCCCCAATGACCATCCCCCTCCCCCCCCCCTTTCCCCCGCCATACCGTTCTCCTGCACCTACTATCTCATAATCCCTCTGCTCACACGTCATCCCAGTCCTATATGCCACGAAACAGATCATGTTCCCGGTCGAATGGTGCTTCCGGCCCGACGTGATCCAGGGTTATTAGTACAAGAGACTTGCCAATCGATACAGCCTACTTCTTCTACAACACCGTCTTCATGGCAAGCACCCTTCAAGATGTCGTCCGGGAAAGACTCCAGAACCAGATGGCCAAGTTAAGGGGAGGTCCTGGCGGGTTTGACAAGAATGACCCTATACTACTCAAGCAGCAAGCTGCGACAGGTAGGATCCGGTGCATCAGAGGTAATCATGTACTACCCCTTTATTCTATTTTGGTGCACGCGCACCTACCCTGTAGCTATGCACGTCGAGCGCATCAAGACCGACACAGCGCTTCCCTACAGATTTGGCCTGGGATACTCCCTCAAGCACGACGCAATATCTAGGGTTTCCGGCCAATCACCTGTCACTCTGTTGATTCAACAGTACCGCGCCGCTCTCCTCTAGCAATATTCGGTCGACGATGAGAGGTGGTCTCTCCGACCACACAGCCGGCCCTGGCGCACTTCAAAGCTGTGGACATTGTACGTGGGACGCCAGGGCCGTCTTCGGCCTTGGCGGAGGGCTGGCTCATACCTACGTCGGGGCGCCTCACCGGAGGTGTTCCGGCTTCAGATCAGGCAATTTGCTCGAGGATCTCTTCAGCATCAGGGTCATCCACGACACAGCCGGCCAGCAGGTCGGCTACCATGGGGCCCGTGTGTCTCTCACACAAGGGTGTAAGTATATATGGGTTCTAGAAGGGAATACTAGGATCATTGTAAGGATATTACTTGTGTAGAAGGTGATATAGGCTGTTCAATAATATGAAAAATTCCATCCTTCGTATTAATACGAGGTCGGGAACATTGGTATGACGTCTTTTGCCTTTGGGGAAAAAAAGGGAGGGTGTGTATATAGGTGCATGTAAGTTATCATAATCAAAGGGAAACTAGGAAGGGCCGCCATGTTATTCCCACCGGTTGGAGGAACCGAATGCGTAATTATGATTAAAAAAAAAAAAAACCATTTGCTCACAAGGCTTGGGGGAACGTGTGTCCCGGTCCACGGCACGGTAGTTATCTCAGACATCCCATCCGTCATCATGGGTGCTGGTCATGACTGGATCTATCTACGAAAGAAAAGAAGGTTACCCTCGTGGGCATTTTGTGTATGTTTTTCTTTTGTGTGTCACTGCATGCTCATAATTCTTTCATCCTTCTTTCCATCTCTCCTTGTCTGCTCTCGACAGTTCCATAAGCATGGAGACCCCCGACAGGAGCTCTGTGTTGGAGCATGGATGCACGTGCTGACGATGACACGCTGGGTTTTCCGGAATGGGCTATTACTGTACAGATTACATGCAAAGCAAATATCACAAATCGGCTCGGTACATGGTTCGGATTCGACGGATCCTTGCGCAACGGTGCTGACCGTAAATACGGTCGGTTTCATATCGCAGGTGCCTGTGGTGATGGCGTATTAAAGACAATGCATATGCTGCAACCCGAGGGATTCGCATCCATGACTGCCCAGCGGGTAACAGTCAAGGGGGAGGGAGAGGAGGAGGGGGGGGGAGGGGCTGGCTTCGGTATCCGCCAGAAATATTATCATTTTGATATGCCGGCCCCCATTGGATTGTGGCATCAAGCAACCTAAGTCGTATCTGTACACGGGTGCATGTGCGACTCCCTCCCATGAGCGCCCCATCATGCGCGGTAGTACCAAATAGGCAAGCCTTGCTGGAGAAGATCAGTTAGAACGAACGGATGATGTATGCCGTGAAGAAGCGATGCCTCAACCTAAGCCCTCTCGGTGTCCTTCTTTTTCTTCTCCTCTGGGCGGAGGAGGGATGGGGGTGGGGTGAGAGATGATGAGGAAGAAAAAGCGGACGGAAGCGAAATATCGACTTCGACATACGAAAGAGTCCAAGTCAGCAAAACGAGGACCGAAAAAAGGAGCCCCGGACGAGAGTGGTCAGTAAGACGGGACGCAAGAGAGCACGATTGCTTGTCGTCACTTGCTCAGGACTTAGGATGACGCTCACGCGTCGGAATCCGATAGATTGAGATCAACGCCGTGCACGGTATCACATCAGTTTATATGCCTGTCCTGTCTCTTCTGACAAAGGTCACGATTGTGACGAATATGAGAAGGAGATTGCTTGACGTCGAGTCCCATCAGCCCATTGCATAAAGAGCAAGGGATCAAGCTCGCGAGACGTTTCCCCATCGGATCGATACATCAACTTGGAGAATCCCTTTCTGGCGTATCCTTCCTCGTCATTCTGCACGAGCTTCACTCATCTCTGAAGCATCTATCAGCAGTATCCGTGTACTGCAGCTACAGGCTCACTCTCGAGTGGGACGAGGAACTCGGTGGCATGAAGGAGAGCGGATGAGAAGAAGAAAGACGGAGGGATCGACCGGTGCGCCGTTGGATGGATTCACCGCTGTGCAGTGCGGTCCCGTTTCTCACATCATCAGCTGGCTGCTCGGTAGGCTCCGACATGGCTTCTCAGCATGCCTCTCGAAAGGTTGAACACTTGGCTCATCTGAAGAGGTAGAGTAGGAGCATACAGTGACGAGGTTCCATGTCATCTACAGGCAGTATGATATAAGGCTTGTCTCGGTCGGTAGTACGAGCCAGGGTCCAATGACGTCTATACATGCAGCCCGGTAAGGCGGTTATGTACTGCGAATCCATCGTCTGACAATGGCGTGTCTTGCTTGGATTTTTCTTTCTTTTTTCTTCTCGCTCTCTGACAAAGTGCAGAAAGTGCAGTTATAGAGCAAGAAAGAAAGGCAAGAAGAAAAGAAGAAGAAAAAAAGCCACGTCAGACCTGTGCTACCTCAAGGATCTGCTTCAACGGTCGGAGTTGGAGCTACACACCAGCTTCACTCTCACCATCACGTAACCTGCACCGAAACACCACGACTTCAACCCGGACAGACGTAGCATGCGCGGTTCGGGAAGATGACACCGTAGGAGGTTTACGAGTACAGTGCCGGTCACATCGGAGACGAACTTTGAGTCCTCTCTCTCTCTTCTTCTTTTCTTTTTCTTACTCGCAACCGAACCGTCTGGGATGAACACGAAGTATACGGAAGGAAGGAGGAAATTGACAAGAGGGAAAATGAGGTGGCTTGCGAGACATGGATTGAACGCATATACGCGAGACACGGGTGACATTCGAGGCTGAAGCTATATATTCATCCAGAGTAATATCAGGAGACGAGACTCCTTTAACCGACGCCTCACTCTACCTATGTGATTGCCCGCTGACTCCCTGCTCGGCACCAACAAAGGACATCGGTGAAGTGAATGACGGCAGAAAGAGACAACAGCAATGAAGAAAAAAATTGAATTTTTTTTTTGGAAACAAAAAAGCAACGAGAGTATTGAGGCGGTATTGAGTGGCTGGTAATACCGGGAAAAGTCGGCGGCTCAATTCTACAGATGCATCATTTGAGTGCGGTACATTGTCGTCGTGTACCAGTGAGTTTTTTTAAAAAGAAAATTTTAAAAAATGTAAAAACTTTCTATCTTACAAAAAAAACGATCATGATGATGTTCACAGAGCATTGTTATTCATACTTTGTGTTAGCAGTCAGTCCCCTTGGTCTTTGTGGAAAGACGGAAGTGACCGTTTTTTTTTTTTTTTTTTTTGGGGGGG